ACCTCAAACTCCTGGGCTCAAGCGATCCTCCTGCCTCAGCCTCCTGAGTAGCTGGGATTACGGGCATGTGCCACAACACTCGACTAATTTTTTTTGAGACAGAGTCTTGCTCTGTCACCCCACTTAGATAGAGTGCAATGGCGTCATAGCTCACTGCAACCTCCAACTCCTGGGCTCAAGCAATCCTCCCTCCTCGGCCTTCCAGAGTGCTAGTATTACAGGCATAAGCCACTGGGCCAGCACTAGTCTTTATTTCCTGCTATTTCCTTAAATTCACTTGACTCCAACCAAATCATACCTTCTTGGTATTATCCCACTCTGTTCTTTTTGCTCATGCCATCCCCATATGCAAATGAATAACCCCTCAGGGCCCAGTGACTGTCCTGCTACCTCCCCTGGGAAGCCACTTCCAGCCAGGAGTGCTCTCAACTGTGCTTCCATAGCACTCAGTCCATCTGTGTACATGTCTACAAAAAGTTTGGAAGACTATCTTTTCTCCTATACTAAACTTTCTGGGACTAAAATCTTGCTTATTTTTTATATCTCCAAAAGTACTTGGCAGCATCCAACACATTGTAAGTCATAACTAATGAATATTACAGAGTTGATGGGCATTCTAAAAACCCGATATGACACATAGTTGAAAAGATTTTAAGCAGTTGTGGCTAGTGAAAGCACATTTGAGACATATGATAATTGTTTGGCATGTACATAAAATAATTTCTGGAATATGATTAGAATTGGAATCTATTGGAGTTTGTCTGAGACTTCATTTCTATATTATTTTCAAGATATATTATAAAACTCAAGTCAAAGAAGAAAGGTATTTTCCCTGGGGTACCCTAAGAACTGTTTTCTCCGTTAAAAAAGAGTGTCATGGAAAAAAATCATCCTGTGATTTCATAGACTTTAGTTAATTATTAACACTTGAGCTTGTTTTCTTTGTTTTTGTTTTTGGGGTGTTTTTTGTCGTTGTTGTTCAGAGACAGAATCTTGCTCTGTTGCCCTGGGTAGAGTACAGTGGCATCATCATAGCTCACAGCAACCTCAAACTCTTAGGCTCAAGCGATCCTCCTTCCTCAGCCTTCCCGGTAGCTGGGACTACAGGCGCATGCAACCACGTCCAGCCAGTTTTTGCTATTTTTCAGTCTAATGCTCTCCCAACTGAGCTATTTCAGCCGGTGGCTTTTTTTTTCTATTTTTAGTAGAGATGGGATCTTGCTCTTGCTCAGGCCGAACTGCTTATATTTTATATTTATATAGTAGCAGTCTTCCAGTGAACTTAATTTGCATCATTCATTGTCCAGTGGTATAATAGCAAATATTCTACTTCTTACTTGGGGAAAATTGGGAGAGAGTAAAGTATTTGACTTGCCCACAATCAAGGAAAGCCTGAAATTTCTTCTTTGGCATTCTGGGAAGATTTTGGCAACACTGGGTAAAAGATTAACTTGAATATATAGTGAAGTAGCAGGTGTTAAAGGATAACTTTTTTTTTTTTTTTTTTTTGAGACAGTCTCTCACTGTGTTGCTTGGGCTAGATGCCTTGGTGTCAGCCTAGCTCATAGTAACCTCAAACTCCTGGGCTCAAGCGATCCTCCTGTCTCAGCCTCCCGAGTAGCTGGGCCTACAGGCATGTGCCACCACGCCCAGCTAATTTTTCTATTTTTAGTAGAGATGGGATCTCTCTCTTGCTCAGGCTGGTCTCGAACTCCTGAGCTCAAGCAATCCTCCTGCCTTGGCCTCCCAGAGTGCTACAGGCGTGAGCCACCGGGCCCGGCCATGTTAAGAGATAACTATACTCGATATCTTGTTGGGCTGTTCAATCAAACCATCCACTAGGTTTGACCAGTAAGTAAAATCTAAATTCTGATTGTTTTTGTTAGCTCGAAGAGTGTGGAAAAACTACCTTCCTGCTATCAATGGCATTGTATTTTTGGTGGATTGTGCAGACCATGAAAGGCTGTTAGAGTCAAAAGAAGAACTCGATGTAAGTTAAATGATTAAAAATAAATGTAGTTAAATCACTCTGGTAAGCCTGAAGAAGTAGGTTGGAGTTATAGATATCAGAGTAGAGCTTTTCTGCAGTCTCACAGGAAACTGCTGACAATTGGTTCAGCTCAGTGATTGCTTTAAGTAGTGATTACTTTACTCAGAATGCATGGGGAATACCTTTGAGTAATTGTAGCTATTGAGGAAGTCCTAACACAGACATCCTTCCTGGTGACTTGAGGAGCCCACCCTGTACCGAGTGTGTCCTTCTAGTGTATTTCATGTTTGCTGTATTCGTGGAGTGGGTTGCTCTTGAGTCCCAGGACGCCACTTCTTCAGGGGCTGCCACCCCTGGAAATGGTATGACATGCTGTCTTTGACACTCCCAGGAATAAACAGGGGCATATTTAGCTACCTCCTCTCCCCTCTCCCAGGTCAGATGCTTTGTAAAGGTCCTCAAGAGCAGCAGGCAAGGCCCTCACTAGATCTGGGGCCACAGAGTAAGCAGGTCTGTGGTCTGACTGAAGGTTGACCCAATCATGCCTCAGCCCAGGGCAGGCAAACAAATACTTCTTTATGTGGAAAAGTCTAGGTAGGTTCTGTACTTATGGAATAGGGCTGGGGAATTCCCAATTTCCTACTTGGTGCCAGACACTGTGCATATTATTTCACGTAATTCTCAGATCAGCTCCATAAGGTAGGTGCTAGTATTCCCAATTCTCCCTGAGCTTCAGTGAGGCTAACTTGCCCAAAGTCACAACTCAGAAGTAGCAGAAAGCAGGCCTTTCCACCTCCAAGGGGTTGACTCTAGCCACCCTACCTCACTGGCTTACGTAGTGAGCAGAGCGAGCATTTACAGGAAGAGCCCTAGGGAGACAGAAGAATTGAGCTTACGGTTTCATGGAGCTCACTTTAAGATGTGGGAGACATTTGCCAAAGGAAGTTGGCATGACATGATATGGTAGGGAACGAGTTCCTTGACTGTTTCATCTTATCGAAATAGGCCCTTTGGATGGTTTCATGTCAGCTTCTTATCTTTTGTATTGTTTTGTTTTTTTCAGTCACTAATGACAGATGAAACCATTGCTAATGTGCCTATACTGATTCTTGGGAATAAGATCGACAGACCTGAAGCCATCAGTGAAGAAAGATTACGAGAGATATTTGGTTTATATGGTCAGACAACAGGAAAGGTAAAAAAAAAAATTTTTGACAAGTGTGAGTATTTAATTCTATAATGCAGGTGTCCTTTTAAATTACTGTCGTCCAGCTCCACAAGCCCGTTATCTTTTTTTGTTGTTTGTTGAGACAGGGTTCGCTCTTGCCCAGGCTGGAGTGCAGTAGGGGTTTTCTGAACAAACACTTTTTTTTTTTTTTGAGACAGAGTCTCGCTCTGTCACCCAGGCTAGAGTCCCGTGGCGTCAGCCTAGCTCATAGCAACCTCAAACTCCTGGGCTCAAGTGATCCTCCCACCTTGGCCTCCCAGACTGCTAGGATTACAGGCGTGAGCCACTGCGCCCAGCCTGTGTCTTCTTTTTAATAAGTCATCTCCACATTAATTTCAGGAAATGCCTTGTTTGGTCATAAACCTACTCAGAGAATGTTTTTTTTTCATATCCATGAAGCCAGTTTGGACTTTTTCCAATATGATTTTTATTCTGTGTCCCTCACAAGCTAACCTCTTTCCCACTGAGTGAGAGAAGGAGGCTTCCTGTGTGTTTAGGGGACGTGGATGCCAAGTAGCCATGACTTTATCACAGCTGGGGCTTTATCACAATCGCCCTTTGTTCAAAGGTAGAACCTATAATTCTGCTGGGGAGTGGAGCTTTTATTTTATAAAACTCCCACATAATGTCTCTCTTCTCTTCTAGGGCAGTGTGTCTCTGAAAGAACTGAACGCCCGACCCTTGGAAGTGTTCATGTGCAGTGTGCTCAAAAGACAGGGCTATGGAGAGGGCTTCCGCTGGATGGCGCAGTACATTGACTAACACCGACCTGCATTGGTTCCAGGTCTCGACATTCAGGCCTACTCAGAGCTTTGATCGCTCAACATGCATAACTTGAACTCAATAGACTTTTGTTGCTTATAAAACTGATGTTTTTTAGATTATTAATATTATATCAACTTAATTTGAGTGAGAATTGAAAACTGATTCAAGTAAGTTTGAATATCACACTATTAGTTTTCTAATTCCATAAAAATAATTAGTTTTTACAGTTTGTAATCTGACATTACCCCAGCGCCATTTATAAAGAACGACTTTCCGGGAGTACATTTGAAGCACTTTTTAATAACATGAAACTACAAATATCAACCATATTTAAAAGCTCATCATGTTAAATTTTTTATGTACTTTTTTGGAACTAGTTTTTAAATTTTAGATTGTATGTCCACCTATTTTAAGTGTACAGTTAATAATTAGCTTATCAATGATTGCATGATGCCTTACAGTTTTCAATAATATTTTTTCTTATGCAAACGTCATGCAATAAAACAAACTCTAATGTTCAGCATCTTTGTTGGGCATATGTTTCATTTAAATGTGTCTTATCTAGTATACTCTGAAAATTTGAACTTTTTAAATATTGTACATACAAAGGGGTTGTTGGGAAAGGAGATTCCTTCAGAATATTTAGAATAATGTTCAAGCCCCGATAGACTTTTGCATTTACCATGAGACAGTTGCAGTCAGTTGCATCTGGTAGTGCATTTCTCTCTCAATCCTGTGTATTTATATCAGTAATGCTGCCATTGCCAGTGCTGACGGAGTCCATGTCCTGTTCCTGCGGGAGTGACCCTTTGAAGGAAAGTACATCTACACCACTCAAGGGGTCCCCAGCTTGTTGGGCCCCATGGTTCTATCCCAGTTGGCTAACTCTGAAGTACTCCAGTCCTATCAGTGCCCAGTTTGGTAATCTGTGCCTCTTCACCAAAAGTAGTGACAGGCGCCAGTCTCTCCACATTCAGAGGTACTCCCCAGGGCAAGCAACAAGTAGGATCTTTTACACAGTTTTGTTGTGGAGACCTGCATATCCAAGGAAAAAGAAACAGCTTGTTCTGCTTCAGTCGTTGCTGAGAAGTGTGGGGAGTTTGCTCCTATCCTATAGCTTTTTTGCATTCTTGGGCATATTTTATTTCCTGATAGAAGAAAACAAATGCTTCTAATTTTCTTTTTTCTTAGTTGCTCTCAGGTAGCTCTTACTTTATAGCACAAAAAGTTTTGTTTTCGGATACTTGCCATGTGATAGTGTCTACAAGCCTCACTGCCAAACTTATTAATGAGATTTTAGTTAGTTTTTTAAAAGCATTGTAACTTCCTGGGAAATTTTCTTTCTTTCATGTTTGAGATTCCCATCCTTAGTAAGATAAAATGAAAGGTAAGTGCCAAAAATGTATTTTTAAAGACTCTCCAGTTTAAGATTTCTCTTCTGATTATAAGCCAAGTTTTTATAGTATATTTTAACCAATTCCATTGAGAATAGATTATTCCCATTCTATCAACAATAGTTTTAATATCAAAATTAGTGTTTTCTGTAGCCATTGTCCAAATCAGTTATTATAGCCCTTTCTGTCATCAATAATGTAACCTATAAAGCAGATAAGGATTGAGGAATAAGACCGGAAGGGATTACTATTATAGTTAGCTAAGGTCATTTCTTAATATGATGTTTGGTTTTAGTAATTTGGGTATTCTGTTTTACTTTCATCTTCTTTATAAATGAAAATAGCTTCTTCCTTGGCTAGAAACATCAGTAGCACTATAGGAAAAATAGAAAATGCCAGGTAGCCTATGATTTATTCTGCCAGATAGGTTTTTGTTTTGTTTTGTTTTGTTTTTTGAGACAGAGTCTCGCTCAGTAGCCCTAGGTAGAGTGCAGTGGCATCATCATAGCTCACAGCAACCTCACAATCCTGGGCCCAAGTGATCATCTTGCCTCAGCAAGTAGCTGGGACTACAGGTGCTCACCACAGTGCCCAGCTAATTTTTCTGTTTTAGTAGAGAAAGAGTCTTGCTCATGCTCAAGCTGGTCTTGAACTCCTGAGTTCAGGCAGTCCTCCCACCTTGGCCTCCCAGAGTGCTAGGATTACAGCCATGAGCCACCGCGCCTGGCCTGCTAGATAGGTTTAAAGTACTCATTCCTAAAGTTCTGACTAAACAGAACTAAGCCTTATGAAAAGTAACTGCCTCTTGTTCATGTTATTTGTCTTCAGTGCCTTCAGGGACATGTTTTTCTTCAAGTATTCCTTAGAATATCCATTGTGATACTCGAGAAGCTAATTATTTGTGTTGTAAATTGGTATAAAGGAAAAAACTTACTGGTTTCTCTAGTGGGGAAAAATGCTTCCTGGTACAAAATATCTCACTCCAGAACCCTCATTCTAATTCTGACACTGGAATCAAAGAAACAAAGTCACTTTGTGGACCACAGCTATAATTGTGGATATTTTCCTAAAGATATAAGATTCTTAGGGCCTGAGCCTCTAGAAATGAAACTGCACTTAGCAGCAACCAGATTTCCTCCAGAGCTCTCAGAGGACTTACCATCCAGCTCTGAGAATCCCTCCAGAGAACATAAACTGGGTCATTGCCCTTTTTCAAGAGAAGCAAATTAGGAGAATGGCAAGAAGCAGTAGAAGCACATGGGGAAGACAGCTCTGCACGTGGCCTGTGCCTGTGCGAATGAACGTGTGCACCTATGGGGTGTTTTCCGGTAAACGTTAGTAGGTTAATTTTGTGCTCCTTAGTGTCAGATGTTAAAGTGTAGTTGTAACATGGTTGTGTCTAAGTCAAGACTGGATTCCATACAAATCAGGCACTGTTCAAAAGATGTTTTAAAATCTGAGGTCTCTGCCGGGCATGGTGGCTCACGCCTGTAATCCTAGCACTCTGGAAGGCCGAGGCGGGTGGATCGCTCCAGGTCAGGAGTTCAAGACCAGCCTGAGCAAGAGCGAGACCCCGTCTCTACTAAAAATAGAAAGAAATTATCTGGACAACTAAAAATATATAGAAAAAATTAGCCGGGCATAGTGGCGCATGCCTGTAGTCCCAGCTACTCAGGAGGCTGAGGCAGGAGGATCACTTAAGCCCAGGAGTTTAAGGTTGCTGTGACCTAGGCTAATGCCACGGCACTCACTCTAACCCGGGCAACAGAGTGAGACTCTGTCTCAAAAAAAAAAAAAAAATCTGAGGTCTAAGACTCTAAAAATTATAAGGTCTCAGCCCACTTATATTTTTAGAAAGATTCTTACCTCACACCTGTTTCAGTGACTGCTGTTAATTACACATTTTGGGTCATAGCTGGTTAAATTGATAGATTTCAGTTTATCTTTATCTGAGTGAATTTTTAGAGATTATTACATTTTTAAATTGGGGAAAGACATTTGCTAAAAATACATGGCAGAAATTCTTCACTGTTGGCTTAGTCGAATCAGTATCTTTGTATGAGTGCCAAAGATGTATGATTCAGATGTTGTCTGCATAGATCTAAATTTTAGTTTCGTGTGCTTGCACCCACTTACAGATTTACTGTGGTTTACAGCAGAAATGCAGAACATTGTTTCTTTTCCTTAGTTTTCAACTGGCTCACACTTCTCTATAGTGCTTTCTAACACATAAACTAATTGTAAATCATTAAGACAAAGTGATAGCTGTGATAATAGTGTTTCTTGCCTTCTGGAAAATTATTTCGTTAACCACATTTCAAAACCCAGCATTTTCACAAGCTTCATCATTAAAAACAGTGTACTTCTACTTAAGATGATTTGAGAGTTTCAGGGGAAAGGTTTACATTTTCTGAAACTCTGTATTCGACATGTGACTCAATGTCGTATTTCGGTACTATTAGTCACTTACCTGACCGAAGTTTGCTAGGATTTATTGCCAAGTAAAATTTGACCAGAGTACACTGAGAATAGCTTATATAAAGGAAAATCTCTCAAAAGTCTTTCTGTTCATTTTATTTAGAGTGTATTGTTTGGATTTTTTTTTTTTGAGACAGGGTCTCGCTCTGTCACCCAAGCTACAGTGCAGTGGCATGATCATAGCTCACTACAACCTCAAACTCCTGGACTCAAGTGATCCTCCTGCCTCAGCCTCCCGAGGCACGCAGCACCACGCCCAGCTTTTTTATTTTTTGTAGAGACAGTCTCACTCATGCTCAAGCTGGTTTTGATCTCCTGGCCTCAAGTAATCCTCTAGTCTCGGCCTCCCGAAGTGCTAGCATTACAGGGGTGAGCCACCACTCTCAGCCTAT